CAGCTCGGATGGACGCGGGTAGAGGCCATTCCGTGATGGCTTTAATCTTGGATTGGTCCACCCGGACTCCAGTGTGAGAGATGACGTGACCGAGATAACCCACTTCTGTTTGACCGAACGAACACTTTGAATGCTTAAGTAGCAAGCTATGCTTCCGAATAAGGTCCAGAACATGCTTCACATGTTTGACGTGATCTACCCATGTTGCGCTATAGATCAAAATATCGTCAAAGAAAACCAAGACGAACTTCCGAAGAACCCCACTGAATACTGAATTCATAAGACTCTGAAAAGTCGAAGGAGCGTTCGATAGCCCAAATGGCATAACGAGAAACTCATAGTGACCATGATGTGTTCGGAAAGCGGTCTTCTCAATGTCACCTTCGTACATTCGAACTTGGTGGTACCCAGAGGCCAAGTCGAGCTTTGTGAAAAACCGAGCCCCATGCAATTCATCGAGTAGCTCATCCACGACTGGAATTGGAAATTTGTCCTTGACGGTGATTTTATTCAGCTCTCGGAAATCTATACAAAAGCGCCATGAATTATCTGCCTTTTTCACTAAGAGAACAGGTGATGAGAAGGGTGAACTACTTGGTCGAATAATTCCCATACGAAGCATCTCCGCACATTGCTTTTCAATTTCATCTTTGAGAAGATGAGGGTAGCGGTAAGGCCTTATAGCTACCGGATTAGCTCCCTCAACTAGACGAATCCGGTGATCGCACTCTCGTTTAGGGGGTAACCCTGTAGGTTTGAAGAACACCTCGCTGTAGCTTTCCAGCAGAAGTTTCAACGCCTCTGGTGGGTTCTCCGAATCAAGCGACCAAAGAGCTTGAGATTGCGAAGCCCGTGGTGGTGAATAGGTGCCGGGGGTTGTGAACATTTCTTCCTCAGTTGTGAACCAATCTTCTAGGTCGTGAACACTGGTATCTATTGCATTCAAAACAACCCCGTTGCTGTCTCTTGAAATCTGGTCCAGCATGGTCGTCTGGTCGTTGCGTAGTTGTGCAAGTGCCTCTTGGGTCTGCGCACTCATCTCCTTTTGAGCTGCCACGGTTGCTTCCAAGACGGTTTGTTGAGTCGTTGTCTTCTCCTCGAGAGCCCCCAACGTAGTTTGCATCGGGTTTATCGCTGCTTTCATCTCCTGGATTGCTTCCATGATTTTCGCGAGTTGCACGGCTATGGAATCGTCTCCCATTGAATCGTTTGGCTCTGATACCAAATTGTTATGAGCCAATTCTCTTGCCTTAGCTCTGGTAATCGGACCTAAGTATTTAGTAGCTATGGTGAACGTAGAAGAATGAATTAGCTCAAAACTTCCTCTTTAACCCTAGTCTCTTTTGAGAATAAGGTTAATTGTTGGAAGATACTTTCTTATTGAATCCAAAACACCTATATATAGGACACGCTACAAATCTGCTTGTCCTAATTGTAAAAGAAAATTAGCTTAAAACCCAAAACTAAAATGTCAACTTAACTTAAGAGTAAAAAGGAAAAACACCAATTGAACTTTATCCCTTCGGTTTAGGCTTACGGCTGTAGACTAATCCAAAGCGTGTATCACATTCGAATCTTGTCTGATGCCGCACTGGAATTTTTTTTTTCGCATTCCCACAGTAATATACTTAGCAGTTTGTCCCAAGCATATGGCCAAATGATACTGAAGAGTGGTTTCTTTCATGCGGATCCACACCCTGGGAATATCTTGATTTGTAAAGGTTCAGAGGCAAGTCATTCTTTTTGTTTCTTAATTGACTTACGGTGGTCTTTTTATAGGTTTTAACGTCTATATATATTGAGTTGTAATCTTGTTTACCGTCATCAGGTTGCACTGCTGGACTATGGTCAAGTGAAGGAACTCCCTGACCACCTGAGACTTGGTTATGCAAATTTGGTCATTGCCATCGCTGATAACAATGCCTCATTGGCATCCCAGAGCTTCAGGTAATTCAAAATTCATCAATCAATACCTTTTTTCTTTTGAAGCAACTTCGTTTTCATGATCATGGTTTTAGAGTGAGTATTGGATAGAGTCTTGTGATGGAAGTTATAACGAAACAGTGGCGATAAGCCTTTGTTAACTTAAGCTAGTTAAAATCACCTTGTCAGCTGAGTGTAGCATCTGATCCCTTGGTGGATTCCGTGGTGAATATTCAGGGAACTCGGTTTAGTTACATTTACTAAGTGTGAGAATGAGCAGCAAGAACTTCTCCAATTAGCAAAAACAATGTTTGATACAAAGATGCCCCCTGGTGTAGCAGTTCTGCAACCTTTCTCAGAAGACTCTTCAATCAAAAAGATTTCCGTTGAGGTAAAAAACAAACACCTATTCATCAAAAGAAAGAAAGAACGAAAACCGCAAACCGTTGTGTGCTTCTTCTTCGTGTTTTGGTTAAACTGCAACAATTGACGCTGTTTGTTGGTTGTGGGTAGGCATTTCCAGAGGAACTTTTCTCTGTTCTTCGCACGGTAATTCTGTTAAGAGGACTCAGCGTAGGGATTGGGCTTAACTATTCGTGCGCCCAGCAGTGGAAGCCTATTGCAGAAGAGGCTATGCTTGCATCTGGGAGACTCTCCACAGGTTAAGACAACGACACTCTTATTTAGTGTTTTTTATTTTCTTACTCGATCCGTTTTTACAAATTTATAATGGAAGGTAACATTTCAGGTAGAAAGCAGAAGCGTCGATGTAGTTCTCTGAGAAAGTTATACCCAGGAGATTAAGAACACAAACAGAGAACAGAGTTGATCTTTTCTTTTCTCTTTTAATTTTTCATTATTTGAATACAATTATGGCATTTCCCCGGACTTGGTTTTAGAGATTTACAAGACTTTAATTTAGCCCTTCTAGCTAAACAGTTATGGTGACTTATACAATACCCTTCATCTCTCTTAGCTCGGGTTCTGCGAGGTAGGTATTATCGACAATCTGATCCCTTAGAAGACCGGAATGTCTACTTTCCATCTTATGGGTGGCGGAATATCATGGCCGCAAAACCACTCCTTAAGATGGGCCTGAGGAAGACAATTGACTCGGGTCTAAACACGAGAGTTTGGAGCGAACCATGGATTCCAGACCTCAGGGCTCGCCCGGCAATCGCCGCCCCGCAAATAGGATACCAAGATCCGGGATTATTGGTATATTCTTTTATCCGGCAAGATACGAAACAATGGGATGTTCCTCTTTTGAGAGAATTTTTCCAACCCGAGGATGTCTCCCTCATATTTGGGTTGAGACCTAGCCGCAACCGGACTTTGGATGGATATGCATAGAACCACTCCAAATCAGGACTCTACACGGTTAAGTCGGGATATGACTTGATTAGGAGGACTAAGTTAGACCGGGATGCTGGTGCAAAAATCGGACCGAGTATCACAGCCCTTCAAAGCCATGTATGGAAAGTCCGTACATCTGGGAAAATGAAACACTTTATGTGGCAATCTTTATCAGGGTGTGTCGCTACCTGCCAGAACCTCACCTACCGACATTTGGGGTCTGACAAGAGTTGTCCCCGATGTGGCGATCCTGAGGAATCTATAAACCATTTACTGTTTTTATGTCCCCCGGCCTTGCAAGTCTGGGCGTTATCGGACTTTCCGTCCCTTCCGGGCGTTTTCCCGAGTACTTCTATTTTTCAAAATATGAGCTTCCTCTTTTGGAAAACAAAAGAGTTTGGCATGACAGATCCTCATAAGGATGTATATCCTTGGATCCTATGGTTTATCTGGAAAGCAAGGAATGACAAAATCTTCAAGGGGAAAGACATCTCCCCTGAAGATACTTGGGTCCACGCCAAAGTGGAAGCGGAAAGCTGGAGATTGGCGAATCGACGGGAAGATGACATCGACCCTTTCGCAGGAACGATAATCTCATCTCCTCCTCTGATACCCCCATCCGAGTTCCCACAAATCCCGATATGCCGGATTGATGCCTCTTGGATCAATTACGGACCGGTCAGTGGTCTCGGGTGGTGGCTAGATGATGGCAGGGGAATGGTGATTTCTGGCTTACAAGGATGTCGCAGATGTCTCTCGGCTCTTCATGCAGAGATGGACTGCCTCCTTTGGGCTATGTCGTGCTTGAGAGATAGACGGATTATATCGGCGTATTTTCAGACTGATTGCTCGGATTTGCTGAAAATAACTGAATCTCCAGCAGATTGGCCATCTTTCATGACAGAGTTAGACGCCTTCCGGATCCTTCGAGAGAGCTTTGCCGAGTGGACTTTATCATATATCCCGAGAACTTTAAATGTCCGGGCGGATAGTCTTGCAAAAGGAGCTCGAACTAGAGGAAATATTTTCTCCCAAATCAATCATAACGTGCTAGTTGAGGATGGCCTGCGGATCACTCCTCCGATTAGCCAAATGTGATGTATAAATTGGGTAGCGGAAAAAAAAAAAAAAAAAAAGAATACAATTATGGCATCAAGTTGTGTCCATCTTAATTGGGTTTACTTGTCTATACACACATAAATCCGTGACCCATAACACTAACCAACTCTCATTTTCACATTCACTTATACTACATCAAATCTAAAAAAGGGAGATTACAAGTAAATAAAAAACATAAAGAACCTGATTAAAAGAAATTAATTATTTACAGTAACGAATCTAAAATAATGACTATCTCTTGTGGCGCACAATCTTGGGGAAGTTTAAGCATGCCAGTTTCTTTTCCATTTTGAGACTGAACTTGGACTACCATGAATTTATCATCCTTTGTGAGATCCTATCAATGAACTTGAGTGTTGTTGACGTAATATTCCAATTATTATAATTAAAATGTTGTTCAAAAAGGACCTCAGATGAAATTATTTTTTGTGATTTTGATAGATTCACTATGTGTCATGGGGCTTCATATATACTGCAACAACATACTCTTTTTCATATATTCCTTTTACACCTCTTTAGCTTTGCACAAAAAAAGTAGACGAGAAATTGCTGCAATCTTCACTCAGCTAGCGAAATTTTACCAAAGTAGCTAACAAGGAAAATTACAAAATTGTAATTTATTAATGTCGCGACCAGATGTAAAACTGTTGTAGTAAATACATATGATAAAAACGAAAGTAAATGGAAAATACACAAAAAAATAAAAAGAACAACGAATCTACGTATCAAATGAAAAACAATTACATTTGCTTAATCATTTTGTTTTTTGTTCATACGTTCTTCCTAAAAACAATCTCCGTGTCAAGCCCAAACCCATCGATCTTCCTCACCTCAACGACCTTCGATCTCTTGAACAGATTCACCAATGGCTTCACACTATACAGATCATTCGCCGAGTACTTATCAGTCTTCCCATGAATCGACACGTGTATCACGCAAACACCTCCGGGCTTGAGCGTCCGTTCGATCTCCCCAACGAACTTCTCCGGGTAAAGCGCGTGATCGAACACGTTCGAGAACTCGAAATCGAATGTCTCCGCGTCGAACGGCTGCGCGTGAAAGTCACCTTTCACCACCAGAGGCGGACGCGGCACCAGATCTATCCCGACGGAATCCTCCACGCCGATCAGCCTCAGCGCCGCCACCTCCTGCCCTACTCGAGCTCCGATCGAGAGCGCCTTCGATCCGTTCGAGAGGAGACCACGCTCCTTGAGTCGTCGGAAGAAAGTGGAGAATACGCGCACCTTCCTGTCCCAGTCGCGCGTCGTCCACACCTCCCGGAGCTTCGGGTTCTGAGTTTTTTTGAGCTGGTGCTGGATGTATGCCTCGTAGGAGGCGTATCCATGATGACGGATCCGGATCCCTTCATCGGCGACGACGACGGAGGAGGAGGAGAGAGAGTGGCGGAGGAAAGTGGAAGGGAATGCGAAGAAGAAGACGATGAGGAAAGAGAGTGAGAGGAAGAGAGAAAGAGTGAAGGGTAATTTTGGAATTACGAATTTCATTTTTGGGAAGTTTTAGCCTCGAGACTTCTCTCCCTCTTTGTCGACTGTGAAGCATCGAGAGTCATATATGGAAATTAATTAAAATAAAGTATTTGAACCAATGTTTCCGCTACTAACAAAATAGCCCCCAATTTTTACGATTGTGATTAAAATTGAGAGAGCAACAAAAAGATTTAAAAACAGGTTCCACTGAAGAAAACAAACGTTAACTTAACATTCGTGAAAAGATTAGCTCCCTTGCAGAATTCTTAAAGCCTTAAAAATTGCAAAAAAAACAAGCACAGGGATGCTCAAGAGAGAAAGAAGCTTGTACATTCTATGAAGTCATCATCACATTGTTTCTAGTTCCCACACCTTTTCTGGGCTTCTCCTCGATTTAGGCTTAGATTAAGCATCTTCGGTTAGGGAAGTTACAAATGAAGATGAAACCCAACCATTCTTCTTGGCATGCTCCACATAGTCCTTGAATTTCTCCTTTGCATTTGGAATGTCTAAAGCTAGATCTTCGAGTCCATCTTTGACTCTAGTTAATCCTTTGGTCATCTGGTTTGTGGTTATGAGTCCTTCACCAAAACACTCCTGCAGAAGATCCAGCACCATCTTGTCGTTCTTCTTCTCCATGGCCATGACCAGTGCTTTTTTAACAACCTCATGGTTGAAAAAAGGCATGCCTAGCTCACGGATGCATTTGCACGCTTCTGATACAAGCCCTGAGCTTTCATATTCCTCCAGGAGATTCAGTATCTTGTCCTTTGCATCTTCAACAGCCCACCCGGTCCCACCTCCCCAGCATCTTAGAAGCCTCTCTCCTGCATGTCGAGCAAAGATAAGTGACCTGGCCATCTTCACTGTTTCAGTTCCGCTTGAGTTTGGTCTTAGTTTGCTGCAGATCTCTTCAAGGTTAAATGGTGCCAAAACATCATCGATCACAGCTCTAGCTAAGAACAGAGCAAGTTCGTTGGAAGCATCGAGGATGTCAAGAGCTGTATCTTCTGCAGACTCTAGGAGCAAGACGAAACCATCTGCAACATCCTCTGTGGTGAACATCTCGATGTGAAGAGAAGAGAGGAGAACAGATGCCATTTCTTTCTCCCGATTCTTCCTGTCTAGAGCAAGTGTTACCAGCTTCTTTAGAAATATTGGGTTGTACTCGGGCGCTCCTAAATCCTCAAGACTGTGTATGAGCTCAGGTATGTCATCGGAATTGAAATACTCATGAATGATGGTCACAATCTCTTCCTTGAACCGCTTTAGTTTCTCGTCCTCGATCTGCTGTCGTCCATTTTCACCAGAGGGATAACTAAAAGAAGCATCAAGCCAACCGCCAGCGATAGCCTTTGGCACAAGCAAATCAAATTTAGTTTTAGCTGAAGGAATGTCAAGAGCAAGATCGTCAAGGCTTTCCCTTAACCTGGAAAACCCCTTCACCATTTGACTAGAGTTTATCAAGTTTTCTGAAGCTGCTTCCTTCAGCAGTTTCAATACAAGTGGTTCTGATGTGTAACTCTCCATGCCAGTAATTAAAGCCCTTTTCACGACCTCGTGATGAAAGAAAGACACGCCCAACTCCCTAATGCAGCGACATGCCTCATAAGTGTCTCCAGTCTCCACATATTCCTTCAAAATGTCAGTAATCTTCTTCTTAACTTCCTCAACAGAGGTTCGAGTCGTTCCACCCCATCTTCTTTCAACTAGCTCGGCATGGTGTGCAGCTGATAGATAGCTTTTCTCTGCAGTTTGGACAACCTGGTAACCTTTGGAAGATTGTGGAAGTGCCTTGGTTGCCCTGGGAAGAAAAGCTGGAGGAAGGACGTCATCCACAACAGCACGTGCAAGGAACAGAGCAAGAACATTAACAGCATCAGGTATATCCACTACAAAGTCATCAGCTGACTCGAGCAGCAGGACAAATCCATCTCTTATCTGGTTCGGGTTAATGACATCAGCATACAATGCGGAAAGCAACACTGAGGCCATTTCCTTCTCTTTGTCATGTCTGTCCATGGCCACAGAGACAAGGCGCTTGATGAAGTAAGGATGATACTCACTTGAACCAAGTTCAATGAGGTCAGATGCTGCCACATCGACATCGCCAGTGCTGAAGTATTCTTCAATGATGGAAGCCACAGCTTTCTTGTAATCATCTAATGGGTCTGAAACAGTTGCACCAACAAGCTCGAATGGTTCCTAATATAAACAAGAAACAAAACGAGAGCTGATCATAAGAACATCTTAAATGCAACACTCCATCGATAAATATTTAAAGACATCAACTACAGTGGAGACATGGAAACAATTTTGCTTCAAGTACTTTGGCAACAAAGTAATTAATCATGAAAATCAAAAATGATTACTTTCATCTAGTAAGAAAAAATAGTGCATAGAGGTGTAGAGACTACCTCTCCGCTGTCATAATTTGGATCATTCCGGTCAATTTGATAGTCTGCATCAATGTCAATAAGTTTCCCCCAAGTTCCTTTCCCACCACACCCATCTGAAACAAAATGTATCGATCAGAACAAAGGAAGTCGAACTAAAGGAACAATATATATATATATATATATATGCAACTACCAGCTCCAAATCTAACGAAATGCCAACCCCTGAAACCTCATTGTTCAGAAACATAAGCTACAAATCCAGACCAACCACAGTAGTAACTCACCTTTCTTTGGACGAACAGACTTCCCCGCATGAGACCTTCTATGTTTCACAGCATTCGAACCAGCAGGAGCTTTCCCAGCAGCAGATGGTTTAGGCAGATTCTCAGACAGAAATGACGAGTGAGGTTTTTGTGCGGGTGGATGATTCACTGCATTCTGGGTTGCAACTTTCATCATCTCTCTCTGCTCATCTGTTAAAAACCCCTCCTTTGACGCCATCTTTGATAATACTGGAACATCGTTAAATCAATCCTTTAGCTCAGATATACATTACGAACACGGGTAGCTATCTTATCAGGCAACAGAAACAAATTTGAGCTATAGCAGTTCTGAATGTTCCAAACCTAAACACCACAAGACAATCTAAGCCAATCCATAATCCAAAGAACAAAGGGCGATACATGATTTCAACACTTTTTGATCCATAATCAACGTCCAATCAATCAATGAATCATCCCGTGGTCAAATGCCATAAACAAACCGGAGAAAAAGTTTGAAAACTCCAAATAAAAGAAATGACACATGAGAAAGAGTGAAACTCCAAGTGAGAAACTAGCAAATGTAATGTTCAAAGAAGAAAGGCACACCAGAAATGAAGCCGCGAATGTTATTCCCTCGTCGTCAAGACAAAATAGCCAACTAGTGAGAAACCTCCACGAAGCGGACACTTACCAGAAGCGAGATCCGAGATTCAAAAGCCGAACCCGAGTCTCAAGGTGAGTGAAACTTTCCTGGAAAATAGGAGATTTGAGAGACGATTGTAGTAAGGAATCTGCACAAGATTGGATTGGAAAGTAAAACGCTTTTAGGAATGGAGGCCGCTACGGCTACGGTTTCTCATCAAAGAGGTCATCACAAAGATTGTCGCCACGTGTTACTGTTTCAACGGTGAAGATCGCTCCTTACATGTGTTGCCTGCCAAAGGCAGCGGACTAGGGTTCTGCATTATCTTTGGTATTTTTTTTTGTTGGGTCCATTAATTTTGGTGTTTTGTTTCTTCTTAGGAAAATAGTGAAAGTAATGAAAATATATAGTTTTTCGACCCCAAAAAAATTGTAAAGCAGTATTTATTTTGAAAAAATAAAGACTAAATCTATGGGTGTGCCAAAAAAAAGAGAAAAAGACCAATCTATGGGTTGTTAAATAAAAGCACCAATCAATCTATGGGCTATATAACAGGAAAATGTTCCAGAGGTTGTTGTAATAAATTCCAGAGGTTGATTCGAAAAAACAAGATTTTAACAAGTTCCAGAGGTTGTAATAAATATTTTTAACATGAAAATGTTAGAGGTTAGCCATGACATAACGATCCAGTTATCCCATAATCATAATCACTCTTACCTATTTTCACCCAACATTACGTAGCGAAATTTAATAAAAGTGTTCAAATTAGACGGTAAAGTGATTCATGTCCTACAATGATCGATTGATTAGTGTATAATATGCTAATCTAAAATATGATCTTGAAAAACATTTTGCAACTGTACATGTTGTGATGTGACCCATTATCCCAAAACAGGTCTCAAATGGAATTGATCAGCCTAATGGTTCCACAAAATGGGAATGTCACCAAGCTCACTTAACTAGCTGCAGTGCAGGGAAGGACTCGGCCAATAATCCGTGAACTCTTGTTGTTCTGTGTCTCTCCACGATCCTACAAAACATCCATCACCACAAATAAGAAATACCAAAGGTTCACACAAAGATATTCAAAACCCCAAGCCCTCATGAAACTTAAGAGGCAAGTACAAGCTAAGCCAAACCAAAACTCTTTAAACCGAAACCGAACGGTAACCGAACCAAATTCTGAGGCCTAGTAGAAATGTTTACCTTGCCTAGGGGAGTCCTCCTCCAACACAACACATCGGCGTCATCTTCTGGCCTGCACAAAGTCAAAAGCAGAGCATACATACTTCAGTGGCTATCCAAAGCACAAAACAGCTTTAACATTGTAATAATCTTTTACCCTTTGTCACCAGGAGGCATGTGTGGAGTACACATAACAGAGTTCGCATCTCCTTCATCACTCGCACTGCTCATTCGCGACGAGGCATTGGCTGAAGAACGTACACTTCGAGCCCTCAAGACATTTCCTTGGCAACTTCTCAGAGAGTTTGTAACTGCTTGCTTTTCATACGCGCATTCAGAGCCGGTTCTTGTAGTCAGATAAGACGACTTGTGTAGCATTCTACGAGAACAGCTGAATATTCCAAAGAAAAGACTTGCTGCTGCTTTAGCACTCTTTGGTGGAGAACAAGCTGAGATAACAAGATTCATTCGGATCTCAACATTGCATCCTAACACTGATTGGAACGAGTCTGCAATCAATTTCCATGATTTCTCGGCTCTTGTTACATGTTGAGGTGTGTAGAATTCCAATTCAGCTATTGCCACACCTGAAACAGACATATATAAGAGGTTTTACTTATCAGAAACTACTTTTCATGATACAAACCAAACTTAAACCTCAGGGTCATTTTGGAAAAGGTAAGTTACCTTTGTCAACAGTAAGTGAAACCAACCTCCCTCTTTTCCACAAAAAGCTCTTCAGTGAATCAGAACAACACAAATCTGTAACTGTTTTCCACACAGTTTCAACTGTTTCTTTACAGTTTTTCTCTAAATACTCCTCGGTTTTTGATTTAACGACATCACCTGGACAATCCGATGATGTGCTGGAGAGGTCAACATCTACATATAGGACCACGGTCAGTTATATAGCTAGCAACCAGGAAAACAAGAAAAGAAACATGAATAACGAAAAAGCACTATATCCAAACTAATGACCTTTGCTTCTTTGACTTTTTAAACTCATTTCATTTTCATTAGTTGCAAGAGAAGATGACTCGGAGTTGCTAAGTTGCAAAAGTGCCACAGTGAGCCAGGTTGTCTGGTTTTTAGATGCTCTCAAGTGTTTCTCAGCATCAGATAGTATCTTCAATGCATTACTCAATTTGTTCAATTCTTCTTCAGCTGTATAATATAACAACAGATGAAAAGCGTTAGGCCAAGTACAACTTGAAGCTGATATTGAAAGTGATCATTGGTTTGCTTACAGGTATGCCTTGTAAGAAACCGAAGTCTGGTTGCTGAACTACTTTCTTGAGATTTTCCAGCAATGATGTCCATAATGACATTAGCTAGCTGGGAAATCAGCTGCATTGGGTCTATTTTGGATTTCATAAGCTCCCTCGCTCTTATAACCGTGTTTGAAGTATCAGAAGACAGTGCAAGATCAAGCAGATCAAGCAATTCATCATCAGAAACAACCCCAATCTGTAGAATGAAAAAGAGTTTGGTTTTTATTCTCAGCTATAACATATTCCCAAGACAGAAAAATTAATGAAGAAAGATGTATTAACTCACAAGCTTGTAGGCCAAAGATGTCGTTACTCTTTTGCCGAGCAAACTTAACTGGTCAAGCATTATCTCAGCATCCCGAAGCGAACCATCAGATTTAGAAGCAATGAAATCAACTGCACCTTGATCAAAATCAATACCTTCTTCCATACAAATCTTTGCCAGCTTATTTGATATTTCCGCATCGCAGACTTTAGAGAAATGATATTTCTGGGACCGTGAGAGCACGTTACGTGGCAGCTTCTCTAGCTCTGATGTGACCAGTATAAAAACTGAATGCTGAGAGAAACTGTCCAAACTGTTCAAGAGAGTACCCCAAGTTTCTTGACTTAACAACTGACACTCATCAATGATGAAAACCTTGAACCTAGATGAAACCGGACGAAGAGATGCGCTTTTGATGAGAGATCTGAGGTAGCTAGGCCGGTTTAGTTTAACCGAATCCATTTCCTTCACGTCCCTGATGCTTCCCGAGAAGTATGACTTGCATTCACTACACAAGCCACATGGTCTACTATGTGCAGCCTGTGAAAGGCAGTTTAAAGCAGCAGCAAATATCTTAGACGTTGAAGTTTTACCAGTCCCACGAGGACCGTTAAAAAGGTAAACAGAAGTAATCCTTCCTCTCAAAATGGTGCTCAAGAGACATTTCACTACCACTTCTTGCCCAACTAACTCATCGAAAGATCTCGGCCTGTACTTCTGACTCAGACTCCTCGACATAGTTTCGTGACTCGGTGTCACCACATTACTCTCACCATTGCCAGATAGTAAAGGATACTCTTCTACATCTGAGGAATGGTTTGATCCTCTGTACCTTGGCGTTCTTGACCAGCAATACGTTATTCCACAACCACGGTTACATTCATTCACAAAATCAACATCTTCATCCCCATAACTAAGATTTGTTGAGGTCATTGGACTACCTACATGGCTGCCATATTCACCAACCAAGCTAGCTAAGTTGGTGGAATAATGAGTTCTATATCCTCCCCTTGAAGCGCCATTCTCAGCATGAGTAATTGAAGGCACATTACATGCCAAATCCCTACCTTTAACCGATAAATCACCACACGATCTTTCACTTGACGGCGATTTACTCCTAGAGCACGCGTCTCCTTCAACATTTAGCACCCTGTTGCTCAACTTGTGAAGGTCACAACCATTCTCTAGCTCCTCCATTATCGAGTATGATCCAAAAGGAACCAATCCCACACGAGCATCATCAGCCTTACAATCACCATCATCAGCCTTACAAGGATGATCATCATGTTCAGCATGATTCACAAACTGCAGTGAGATCCCATTGTTGGAACCAGTTTCCCATTTGACATTTTCAAGCAAAGAAGCAAACTTGCTCATTGAATTAGTACAAGGATCTCTCAGTGACCGAACCCTTCTAAGAGCCACAAGTGTTCTTGTGATGGGTACATCTACAGAATGCCTCCTAAACTCCCCCATTTTCTATGAATTGATCAAACAACGTAGAACGCAGACCCAGGCTCTCTCTCTCTCTTTCTCCTGAAACTTCAAGATTCGACATCCATCATCTCTTTCCTGATAAAGATAGTAATATTAGTGATAGTTTTGCAACATTTAAGCTTCTTATCATCGGTGAAGAAGCCAAAGTATAAAGCAAAACCAAATCCAGCACCAAAGAGCATAAATCAAACTCAAACAGCCATTTTAGTAAGTAAAAATCAACAAGAAGCTAGCTAAACGATGAGAATGTGGTAACACGAGAACAGATGTGGAAAAAAATACTACTCGTATTAACAAACACTCACAGAGCTCAAAAACACACATAAAACAGAGAACCAGATAAGCTATGAAAACAAAAACAAAAACAAAAACTTGGGAACGATTAAAAAATGGCATTTAAATAAGGAAAAGACAAACCGAAAACCCCAAACGTCAAGATTGGGGAATACCAAGGTGTATTGAACGGAGTGGCGTACAATGCGGAGAATCCAAAACCCTAAAAACCTCTAAGAGAAGAAGAAGAAGAAGTAAGTAAGTGGTGGCAAAGTGGTGAATAAGAGTGATGGTGAGAGGTAATAATAATGGTAATAGCAAAGGGGTCGTTGTTGTTTGTGTGGAGAGAGAGAAAGAGAAGGGAGACATATGTTAGGGTAGGAGGCAGAGATTTTTGCAGTGAAAGGTGGTGTGTCTTGGGACAGAGAGCCAACCAGTAAGAAGGAGAGAGAAAGCAAGAAAGAAAAGAAAGAGTCTTTAAATAATTTGATTATTTGGAGTTCGCTTCATTTAAGATTCGTTCGGCGGTTTCAGTTATGTCTCTTTGGCTTTCGTGGCAAAACCAACAAGAAAAAAACAGTCTCTACTCTCTACTCTAACTTCGTGTGGTCCGCTCCTCTGCCACGTTTTTGCCTCTACTCACGTGTTCCTTCTTCCCATTCAATTCAGAAGATTTCAATCATTTATTTTATTATTTGGAATTCAAAATAGTAAGTTTCATCATATTGACGAGACAATCTAATTTATGTTTATTTTATTTGACCAGACACACAAGTTTATGATCCTCTTCAAAAACGAGATCAAACATGAATTTCATCTGGTATCCAGCAGTTACAACGGTGATAAAAGAAATATGATGCATTGTTCGTAAACGTTTTGAAAACAAAAACTAAACACCATATAATTGGGGGTTTAGTCTATTGATCAATCCTAGTTAAAAAACTGTGGTTTATTTTACAAATGCGGTATATATCAAGAACTAGTTTTGGGTATTATGAGAGTTTAATAGACCAAAGATCTTAATTTTTCACGAATTATCAACAACGACAATATGAATGTATTCACGTATACACCTTGTTAGACTCACAGATAACTGTCGGTTTAACTTGAAAGTAAACTAGTTATAAACCTTCTGTATAAAAGAATGTCTTGTTTATGAATAACAAAACAACTTTCCCCTCTTCTTCTTTGTTTGTTTAGCTCAACTAACAAATTTTATAAATCCCTACGGATTAAACGACAACAACTAATCTCAGTTTTTTTTCTTAACGCTCTTGCATAATACTTGTTGTACTAATGATTTCAGTGTTGGAATGCCTTTATGACAGATGCTCCGGCAAACTTTTTTTTTTGTCAAAGGCTCCGGCAAACTTTATGGTCACGTTTCCGGCCAATTTGAGATTCAGAACACAGTGCAAAACTGCAAATATCACACTAGTGGATGTTTACTCTGGAAAATTCCTTCTTAACTCTCTTGTTTGGTATCAACTTATTACTAATAATTTCGTCTATACAATTTACTTTTTAACTATCAGTTTGTCCAGTTGTAGTTAATTATAGCGTTTCTACACTCAGATTGATGATGAAGATGCCGTACCAAAACAAGTAAGAACAATAAGCGTTGAGTTTCTTACATGTGGGGGCGTGCTACAGTGTTTTTAGACTTACCTCTGAAACAGAGAGGTCAAGGAGAGCCCAAAGGACGGTGAAGAGTCAGAGCATGGTAAAAAGATGAGTCCATGTCTGGCTCTTGCTAATAGAGACTAAAGTGAGTGAGCCGTAAATATATATAAAGTGGAAAAAAACATTTTCTTAAAAAAAAAACTCTATTTTACAATCTCAAAACAAAAAAAAATTAACAAACTTTCTGCATGTACCAAAAGATTTCCTAAACGAAACTTTTATGGATTAATTCGGTTTAGCCTACAAGGTGAGGTATAATTTTAGTTTTGTTACCAGATTGCGAGTCTATCAATCAGTTTGCCCAGATGGAAGACGAGACCAATACGTTGACCGATTGTTTCCCGAAACTAGCTCTTGGGCCTTTAGAGCATGTTCAACCCTCAACCTCTTAATGAGGTTCTTTTCCATTTTTTATTAATATTGTTTTTTAAGTTGAGAAGTTAAGAACTTCTCCATTTTTTATGCTTCCAACACTGAATTTGTAATGGGGTTTTATTACTTTCACAAAGTCCACCACTAGCTCGAACTCTTCTCTTTAATTTACAGACACAAACCAATCAGCCACACGTCTATAGTAATATTTGCTCACAAATCTGACTTCCACCAAAGATTATAGGTAGAAAATCATAATAAATAATAATAATAACAGAGTGAGTTGGTTTATAGACGAAGATCCATCTCCTCGTCCTCCTAAATGTACAGTTCTTTGGAAAGAGCTTTTGGGGTTGAAGAAACAGAGGAATTATTCGTCTTCTTCGTCGGTGAGGACCGTGTCATCGCTCTCTCCATCGTCTTCCACGTCCTCATCAAACTCACTTGAAGATGCAGCTGCGAAGAGAGAGGAAAGAGAGAAAGAAGGTCAGAAAGGTAAGAAAGTATTAGAGAGGACGAGATTGGCGAGAAAAATTGGAAGAGACGATGCAGAGAAAAATTTGGTCGAAGTCTTCGTTGTGGTCGAGGAAAGAGAGACCAAAAGGTTTTCTCAAAAAAAAAAAAATTTCCTTCCTCCATTTATACGATCACACGTCACGCTAAAACTTCTCAAAAACGGGTTCAAAAAACTCTAATATAAGAACTGGTTTAAGAAAATTGTGGGACCTCTCTGATTAAATAAAATCCAAATAATGCTTTGAACTCTGCGTATGAACTCTATAAACCCTGCGTTGGACGTGGTCTTAGAGCCGTAGCAATTGACGTTAATTGCTAGAAAAAAAAATGACATATCTGTTTAGAAAATTAAATTTCTATATATATAGATAGTTCCATTCTTTTTTGGGACAAAATAGATAGTCCCATTTGAAATGACGAAAACAAACTACCTTCAACACCTTTTAAACCGAAACGTAAACAATGTATTTTCTACTTCTTTTTTTCCCTTCTCAATATACAGAGGATGACATTGGAATCCTTTAAACTTCTACGTCATAGAAACTTGGATTCAATCAAGATTCCGTTGAATACAAGTCATTTGGGTCCACAACGAAAAAAAAAAGAAGAAGAGAGGATAGCATGAATGTGCCACGTATTATGATATGAGTGGATACCATAAGATTACTCATGTTCAAATTCTCGGCGAACTTTACGGCCAAAAAAAAAAAAAAAAAAAAGAAAGAGGAAACAAAAGAAAAGGATATGTCGCATGTAAGAGTTGCCCACTTTGCCCCTTTGAAACAATAATAAGTTTTGGGAGGCATGTGCTGTGATTACTCAAATCTTCATTGTCGCTGTCAATTTTATCTCTCCGAACAAATCTTGTTGATGGAGGAGTGAAGATGAAGATTTGTTGAGCGGGCCTCTCTCCTTGATTGATTCCCACTATTCCATCAAATATTTTTAATAATGCACCTCATCTTTTATATAATTTGATTTTAAGAGTGTAAGTAAATATTGATTCGCATGATAATAATAAATATTGCAAATATTTTTTTTTTAACTATGGCGTTACAACAACAGAGTACATCATGTGTGATTTAGTTTTTTTTTTTTAAAGCACATTCCACATCAATTAATGGCGTTTAGGCATTTACACAAAGATTAAGTTAGAAGATACGAGGGTTTTGTTTGCGTTCATTGCTTTGGTGGGATAGATGATCTATAGGGTTTCCTATGGAGTGTTGACTCGGGTACCGTATTGCAATATAATCTTTCTTTTTAACTTTTGTGTGATTTTACAAAATTTGGGTGGTTTGACCTCGCTAGTATTCGTTTTTTTTTTTACTTCATGAGCTTCTGCATACCCATGTGTATCAGATTCTTTTTTTGGTCTTGCTCTGAGCTTTTGTTTTCACTTCACTATGAACTTGACCGGAACTTGTTGAACCCTCTCTGTTGATATGTCAATATCGACAAGGGACAAAATGGTACTTTTAGATCGGAAACTCGGTATTTATTAGATTGAATCGAGCAAAATACAACTGAGTTCGGTTATTCAGATAAATAATAACGAACTAAGACTTAAGACGACTAAGAAGCTAGCGTGTTGAGTTCTCAGCCTTTAAGTCTTCTTGGGAATATCTTGTGTTCTCTGGTGTCGATTCGTCACCCTTTATATATATCTCCTAAGTCGGTCCTCAAGCACGTCTTAGACGATATGGGACCGAGAGGAATTTCCTTTTCTCTCGGTTTCTTTCCTTTTCTCTCCAAAGTTTCCTTTTTCCATTAGGAAACTTTCCTGTTTCGACCGAGCTCAGGGAAACCCTCTATTCCTTCGAGAGATTTCTCACCGACCTTGGCCTAACGGGCTGTATTCGGCCCACCTCCGCTCGGCCCATCTTTTCTCGGTACGTCCCTTCGTAAACCGGGCTTATGGTTTGCCGATCTCGGTTTGTACCGGAGAAAACCGGGGTGCGGTTTTCACCTCCAACAGTTAGCCCCCCCTCAGCTCGGTGAAAGGAGGTGACTTTCAGTCGAACTTATTTCTTCGGTTATTGGATCACAAACCGAGCTCGGTAACTGCTGTCGATTCACATTTCTGGACGTTTCGCGCCCGTCTTCAATGAGGCGTGTGAATTACGGAATTTTCGCGAAAATCGAGGAACCCACGATTCCCACTGTTTATAAGAGAAAAACCCTCCTCTCGCATTCATTATTCTCACTCCAGCATATATAAGGTACGCCGCTCTCCCTTCTCTCTAGATTTTGTTTCTCTCTCTAGTTTTCTTTTTGTAGTTTTTCTCTCGTTTCTTCAACTCTCGCCGCCGCGAACCCTTGATTTTTCCGATCGATCTTCAAACTTCCCGATCAACCTTCAATCTTTCCGGCTGATCTTCAAGTTGTTCTTCATTTCTCCCAAATCTCCTTCGAATCTACTTTTCCAAACTCAAAAATGTCTTCTAGTTCTTCGATTAATTCTTCCTCTAACCAAATTCTTCCGGAAGACCGCCGTGAATCCTCGGAGCTGAGCTCCTCTTCTTCAAACCCTCAACAATCGAGTCCGTCATAGGAAGAGAGCAACCTTCCTCAATTAGTTCGCAAAAATTCTAAATCAGTTGGTGCTAGCAGCAGCCGTTCTCGACCACGAGTTGAAGCGACCGAAAATTTGGCGACATCGCGAAACGGGGGCTCGGATTGGCCCGAACGCTGACGACGTTGTCCACGAGATCGAAGAAATCGAAGAGCTCGAAGAAGAAAACCAGGAAGAGAGCGCTGCTAAGGCGGAAGTTGCCGAGGATAACCTTGGTGCTGTGATTCACGCTTCGCCGCCACTTCCGAGGCGCAAAGTTGTTCGCCCCAACGTGCCATCTTCCTCTGTCTCTCCTGGTGCTGTTCGTGACGTGCTCGAAGAAAGTGGACTCGCGGATCGAGTCATCTTCTGTTTCCTAAGCAGAAGGCCGTAGGTTCGACCCCTACCTGGCGCGCCAATTGTTGATATGTCAATATCGACAAGGGACAAAACGGTACTTTTAGATCGGAAACTCGGTTTTTATTAGATTGAATCGAGCAAAATACAACTGGGTTCGGTTATTCAGATAAATAATAACGAACTAAGACTTAAGACGACTAAGAAGCTAGCGTGTTGAATTCTCAGCCTTTAAGTCTTCTTGGGAATATCTTGTGTTCTCTGGTGTCGATTCGTCTCCTTTTATATATATCTCCTAAGTCGGTCCTCAAGCACGCCTTAGACGATATGGGACCGAGAGGAATTTCCTTTTCTCTCGGTTTCTTTCTTTTTCTCTCTAAAGTTTCCTTTTTCCATTAGGAAACTTTCCTGTTTCGACCGAGCTCAGGGAAACCCTCTATTCCTTCGAGAGATTTCTCACCGACCTTGGCCTAACGGGCTGTATTCGGCCCACCTCCGCTCGGCCCATCTTTTTCGGTACGTCCCTTCGTAAACCGGGTTTATGGTTTGCCGATCTCGTTTTGTATCGGAGAAAACCGGGGTGCGGTTTTCACCTCCAACACTCTCAAATCGCAAAAGTGTTCTGATTCTATAATAGACCATGCCTTCGTGATTTATCCCCTCACGTATATTTATCCAGTGATAACTACTTTCAAGGACGGCTTGAAACCATACCTTCATCAGTTCAAAGCTGCACAAGTTTAGAATCTTCTTATTTTCCTCAATTGTTTTTGTTATGTGTAGTCTCTGATCACAGATGTACGTGATTATGTTGACATAGGTATGAATGTGTTCTTCTATAGACTATACGTGGAAGATAAGTCAGGGATTAATTAAGTGATATGGTACATCTCCACGATCTTCATATTTTAGGGGAGTTTCCTTCACCAGCAAAATTGCGTAATAAGATATTAATATCAAGAAGACCTATAAGTAAAGGGTTGACGTATGTAATAAAGGGGATGAGATACCGTAGGAGTCGGGCATATAAGAATTATTAGACTCCACTTGCTTTCGATCTATGTTGTGAACCTTGGCAATAAACAGATTCATCCAAAATAGATTCTTGCGGGCAAATTAGACAAAGAAGATTCACCCAAAATGCATCAGATAAGGGAGGTTCATTCATCAGCACAAAAAATAATGTTTTTTTTTTTATGTTATCTGACCTTTTATATCTTAAAGTATTGTAAATATTGTAGAAACGTGTGAAAAGATTTAGGATCCTTCGACTTATTCTACACCGTATATTTTGAAATTGAACTTTGTATATAGAAGGTAAGATCTTTGATTTGTAAACATCCAACAATATTAAGTATTTGAGTAGTTAATATAAGTTTCAATTTCTCTCTGTCTCTTCGTTTTGTTTTCTTCTCCACAAGACCACAAGGATCAAGTATGTTTTGGAACGACACTGATTTAACCACCACAAGATATAGAGAAATGCTAAGGTAGCATGACTTGTTCGGAAAAGATAAGTCTATGACATTTCGTTATTGTCAACAAAATAACATTTCTTTACTAGACTTCAAGTGTCAACAAAATTATTATACTTTTAATTCATTTTTAGCACTCATTTTATTTTAAAATCAACCGTATCATTTGAGTACGTTGCTCAACTGTCAAACAACCTAACTATTGAAAGGAATCCCGTAAAACCTGCAAATCACGAGGCATTACATGTCCCACTTACACTTTTCTTTTACAACTCTCCAATGCTAATTTCCACATTAACCTATCATTACCAACGCCTATTAACTAATGACTTTAACAGTGTATTGATTCGTATCCAAGTCCCCCTGCCGTAATTGGTGCATTAAGAAGTGGAAAGGAATATGGTGGACAAAAGAAACAAACTGTTTGTCACGTCATTTTTTTCACCACTGCCACCAATCAGAACATAGCTGAAATTAATTTCCTCAACATTTTAAGATAGATACAAAATTAGTCAATATTAAAATAGGAGAAGGTTTCCCTATCTGAGAGAAATAAAAACCAGATATTCGAAAACAATCAAGTATAACTCTACAACTAGTATAACTCTACAACTCTTATAACTCACATCCCTGGTGGAATCATTCGACTAGTTACATGGTTATTACTTCATTTTCTAATTTCTTTTTCATTATCTTATTCTGCTTTTTTTCTTTCTTTCCCATTTATGTTTTTTTCGATACTCGATTACTTGACAAGTTTTTTTTTAATGTTTTTTAAATGAAAAGATTACCAGACATGTTCTGTCGGTTTATCTTCGCTTTTCTTTGATATCTTACCTAACATGTTGCTATAGTATATGGTTGGAGAGTTAGTTCTCTGAATAATAAAGGCTTTGTTCAGGCATAACGGTTCTGATACGGACAATATCTAATCAATATTTTTTTTTAATAGTTTTTGCATTATATGATATGAACACGTATATCTAAAACCTTGATTTGATATGAACACGTATATCTAAAACCTTCGATTAAATATGAAATTATAGGCAAATTCTATGCTATGTTTTTATTTTTGTGGCTATAATAGGCATTTACATAACATCTCAAATTTTGTAATTGTTGAACTCTTTTTTGAGTGAAACTGCGATAAATTAATGTAAAAATAAACTGCGATAAATTGATACTTTTTTTGGTTATTGGTTTGACGTCCTATAAATTGAGCCATTTTTGTTGGAATTTTCTCTATTTGTTATCAACTAGAATGGTTTACTTTGTTTGGATCCTTCTAATTACCTAAGAAAATGAACTTCCTATAGTTTTTTATTCGGCTAAACAGCTCAAGTGGAGCTTATTTGAAAAGCATAACGTTTTCGACCTAATTAGACTGTAGGCTTTTGTTTAATGTCAACAATTAGCTAATTGAAGGTTTTAATTATGACGGATGTAAGCATTCTATTGGTTCATCCTAGGCATTATTATATAAGTTCTTTACCAAAAAGAAATAAAAAGTGGGACCTAAACCGAAAATTCCAATAAGAAATGGTATGGGAGGTCTTTGCATCTTTATATAAACCCCCAAAGTTTATCTCTTCTCTGTATCTCCACTCAAAACTCCTTTCCTCTGTATCCGCTTCCCTCTTCTCTCACCAGAATCCGAGAGAGAGAGTGAGTGAGTCTATACTGTGACCATACAAAAAAAAAGAAAAGAAAAGAAAATGCAGACCAAGAAGCTCTTTTTCTCCATAGTCTCTTTTCTTCTCTATGCTCCATTGCTCTTATCTTCACCAGTTCCAGACCCAGAAGCTGTTGTCGATGAAGTCCACAGGTACAAATCTTCTGTCTTTTCTTCTTCAAACTTCACATTCTACTTAAAAATCCCAAATTTCAGCATACTCTCTGCAAAATGCTCGTCTTTAAGTAAATCGCAAATGGGACCATATAAAGCAGCAAACTTTATAAAATCTCTCTGCTTTTTTGTACATTTAAGAAGAGAATGCAATAAAAGTCTCTGACTTTATGATGGTTGTGCACTATGTATAGGAGCATTAATGCGTCGGTTGCAGGAAGAAGGAAGTTAGGTTACCTCTCATGTTCCACTGGTAACCCAATCGACGATTGCTGGCGATGCGACCCACACTGGGAGAAAAACCGACAGCATCTCGCCGACTGTGCCATCGGGTTCGGCAAGAACGCAATCGGCGGCCGAGACGGTCGGATCTACGTGGTCACAGACTCAGGCAACGACGACCCAGTGAACCCAAGACCCGGAACCTTGAGACACGCCGTGGTTCAAGACGAGCCGCTCTGGATCATCTTCCAGCGAGACATGACGATTCGTCTGAAAGAAGAGCTGATCATGAACTCTTTCAAGACCATCGATGGCCGTGGAGCGTCCGTACACATCTCAGGTGGGCCTTGTATCACGATCCAGTACGTGACCAACATCATCATCCACGGGATTCACATCCACGACTGCAAGCAAGGAGGGAACGCTATGGTGCGGAGCTCCCCACGGCATTACGGGTGGAGAACGATATCGGACGGTGACGGTGTCTCCATCTTTGGAGGGAGTCATGTTTGGGTTGACCATTGCTCGCTTTCCAACTGTGAAGACGGGCTTATTGATGCTATAATGGGCTCGACGGCGATTACTCTGTCTAACAATTACATGACGCATCACGATAAGGTCATGTTGCTTGGTCATAGTGACACTTACACTCATGACAAGACTATGCAAGTCACTATAGCTTTTAACCATTTTGGTGAAGGCCTTGTTCAAAGAATGCCCAGGTAAAAAAAAAAAAAGATTTGATTTTTCTTGGTAGATTTGGTTTGTTTTAGTAAAATTAATGTGATTTGTGACTTGATATTGGGACCATTGTTGTGTATGTGTGTGTAGGTGTAGACATGGATACTTCCATGTGGTGAACAATGACTATACACATTGGGAGATGTATGCGATTGGAGGAAGTGCTAATCCTACAATCAATAGTCAAGGGAACAGATTTGTGGCCCCAAACATCAGATTTAGCAAAGAAGTGACTAAACACGAGGACGCGCCTGAGAGCGAGTGGAAGAGCTGGAACTGGAGGTCTTCTGGTGATTTGTTGCTTAATGGTGCGTTTTTTACGCCGTCTGGTGGTGCTGCCTCGTCTAGCTATGCCAAAGCCTCGAGTCTTGGTGCTAAACCGTCTTCTCTTGTTGGACCATTGACGTTGGGTTCTGGTGCACTGAATTGCCGTAAGGGTTCTCGTTGCTGATTGGTGGGGTTGGCCTTTAGTGGTCACTTAAGTTTTTAGTTTTTTTTCCCAACTAAAAAAAATTATATAGAAATGGCAATTAAAGCCACCAATTAAGGGGTTTGGGTTAAGTAATACTTTCTTTACCCCCTTGATTTACTCTCCTTATTTTTTTTCTTTTTCGGGGTTGAATTAAGGAGAATACAACCTCTGGCTTGCTTTCTCTTAGGACCCTTCTAAGGATTCTCTGTTTTAAGGAATCTTTCTTTAGGTCAAGTGTAGCAACAAGTGCAGATGTGTTGATCTTTGATATTAATATAATATAAATTTATGTCCTCTCTTTATGTCTTCCTTTCTTATTTTCGATATTGAATGTCTAGACTGATAAACACAAGCAGCCTTACAAAGAAAAATATAGCCATCGCAAAATAATATGAAATGTAAATTTGCGTAGCCATGATGGAGGAAGTGGTTAGTTACAGAGTTACAGTGCCCATGCTCTGTTTTGTTTATTCAAAAGTTTGGAATGTTGTGTGAAATGGGTAACTTTTTTGGGTCAAAGTTGTTCGAGCCAGTCAATGTTTGACCATGGCCGCGACTTTTTTCCCTCTGGCCGATGCATAGATTTTGGTTAAATAAAAAAAAATCTATCCTTAAAATGAGGAAAAATAATGAGGCATCATTTGCACATGTGACCATGCGAGAACAGCAGAAAAGCGGAGATTGGTACTACATTGGAATAGTAAAAGGTTAAAAATATTTCAAAAGTAATAAAAATTGGAGCAGTTATATGTCTCAGCAGCCCTACTTTTGATGGCTTGGTCTCATATTCTTGTTGACTCCTGTCCACTGATTGTGGATACATTTTAAATTTTGAAATTTTAACAACTAAAATAACTAACCAAATATTTGGTTTTCTCCATATAACTAACCAATATAATACACCTTTTTCTTGGCCATCACATGTGCGCAAATATTTTATATACATTTAGGAAGGAAAAGAAGTAATACATAAAAAGATCCTATGGTTACTAGTCTCAACGAATGAGGTGATCTAGTTGGTGTGATTATTGTGTGGTAGATTCGAATTGGCGAGTCAGTAAATAATTTTTTTTGCCAATATAAAAGTTATAAAGATAGTTTCTATTTCTCTTTTTTTTGGTCATATATAGCATCAAACTAGATTGTTCAAACAAAAAAAAAACATCAAACTAGTATCATGTTGTTTTCTTTATCTTGATTCCAAACAGGTATGAAGATATAGGTTCTCTTCTCCTATCGAGTTGAGTGTACTTAAGTCTTCTACTTATTCCTTTTTTTTCGTAGTTTACAAATAGAATATTCCTACGCGAGTTAGAGAGATCATAGTGAGGTTAACAATTCGGATCTTGGTTAAAACTCAATAAAGAGTTATTACTGCTCAAAGTGCGACTTGATCTGGAGAAGAAAATGGAATAGCATTTGATATTGAGGAATAATAATTAGAAGAGTATTGTGTGAAATAAACAGTTCTCTCAAAAAAAAAAAAACAATTCATCTACCTCGGGTAGAAACTCAAAGTTTTTTTAAAAAACATATCTCGCTGTTCAAAAAAAATATAGATGATACATATCTCAAAGAGCTATCCCCAAAAGGAATGAAATAGGAATGAAACTATCGCAGCATTGGAGCCATCTCTTGATCTCAAATATGGAAGGTCAAGTTCTTCCTAAGGCAATGAATACATCTTCAGCTTCGGATATGAAATGCATTAGAAATAATCTCTGTGTGGAAATATTTGTTGAATACGATACATTACAAGCAATATCTTATGGTTTTCGCATGATTGATAGTAAATTTCTTATATTTTTTTTTTATAGTGAATTTATTGACGAGAACTTTTATATCTTTCAAAAACTAGTTGCTGTATCGATGTGAGGAGTTGGAATGTGTCAACAAATAACAACTTAGCTGAAGATCAAATTATATATATCTGAACTTGTTAAAACAAGAAATATTATTATGTCTTTTGAACTTTGTTTGCAATTCTTTTCCCTTTCTTATGTGTATATTTGGCTTCACAGGAAATTCAAAATGCATCATTGCAATCCGATAGTGTAGTAAAAATATTTCTCCCCTTTCCCTTCCCATTTTCATCTATTATCAGCACTGAATGATCTAATTACAAGGCAAATGTTTGTATCAAGCCCAATCATTCCTTAAACCATGAGAACTGAGAAGAAATGGCTTTAGGCCATTCAAAAAAGAAAAACATCAACATTGCATTCAAGGAGTCTAAAAGTAAGGAAGTGGCAACTATTTGTGTAGAAGAAGACAACAAGTGACGGATATAATGCCTTTATAAACATTTGATGACACTCATGTTCATGGAACGAGAAAGTTAGGTTGTATACATAAGAAAAATCGCTGCAACTTTGTCAATGAATCCAAGATAAGTCCATTGAAAGATAGAACCATATCAAATTAAAGTGTCATTTAGTGTCAAGAAATAAGTGTCAAAGAAGCCGTGAAATTTGCCGCTAAGGCACGCTTGAAGATGAGTACACAAAGCACTTTTTTAGAATGTTTGACTGTATGTTCGTTAGCTACGAGAGTATAATTCCGGGTCCACGATTATACTTTGAATTGAAAGTTTTATGCTTTTTAATGTTCAGAAATGGATGAAAGAAAGCTTGTAATACATTTAATTCATCGTGATGGAACATATCTCATACGGAAGATTCGTTATTGAGTGCAGTTGGTCAAGATACTCAAGAGATAAGATGGATTCTATTGCTTGGAGAGTCGTACCTATTGCATCTACAATATTTTTTTTTCTATGAATTCTTATCTCTGACTTTGATACACGTATTATGGTTTCTTACATAGTATTCCAATCCAAACGAACTGTAACTAGAATATGAGGAGATGTAGCTCATTGCTGATATACATCTCAACTGCTTGCACATGAAGTTTAAACCTTAAAATAAATCGAATCACTAGATTATAAACTTTCATGGACACAAAGTTTAACCATATTATTAAAACCGTAAAAGAAATAAACCTAAATTTTGGGGTTACAAATCCAAACACTCAAGAATGTTAAAAACAGTTGAAGGAAAAATTAAACAAAAAAAAACAACTGAAGGAAAAAATACCGAAGAAATTGTAAAAAAACAAAATTTAATTGTATTGCTGTTCCAGCTAAATTTTTTTATTTAAAAAATACACTTCAATTTATTTTTCCTTTAAATAAATTTCACTTTGGTATCGAAACAATTTCTCTTGCTCTCTCGGCCCTCCTTATCCCTATCTCTCCCACCGTTCTAAACCCCTCTCTTCCTCTTCTTTCTATCACACTTCTATCTCTCCCAGTTCTTCAATGGCTTCTTCGATAGTGACCTCAAGCTTGAAGCCTTTAGCCATGGCGGATTCCTCTTCTTCCACCATTTTCTCCAATTCTTCAGTCCCCACTATCTGTTCCTCCAAAACTCGCTGCTCCAACTTTTCCCTCCTCACCGGACGCACCAATCTCCCGTTCTCTTTCTCCCGATTCTCCCTCTCTCTCAAAACAAAAACCCACCTTAAAAAGTCTCCCTTTGTCTCCTTCGTTGCCCAGACTTCGGATTGGGCTCAGCAAGATGGAGAAGAAGGTGGGGATGGGAGCTCATCGGTCGCCGTGGAGGAGAACGAGCCAGAAGCCACGTTTTCTGAAGGGGAAGGAGATGTAAGCGAAGGAGGCGGTTTCCCGGAGCCACCGGAAGAAGCGAAGCTCTTCGTCGGAAATTTAGCTTACGACGTTGACAGCCAAGCCTTGGCTATGCTCTTTGAGCAAGCCGGTACAGTTGAAATCGCCGAGGTAAATTTTTTAGTTATGATTTGCTGCTTCTTTCTTGTGCTTATTCGATAAGCCTCAATTGATGCGTTTATGTTCATTATGCGTTGCTTAAGTTCATGTATGTTCTTTGCATTGAAATTTGCATCAAATGTGAGTCAAATGGATGAGATAAAGTGAAGTTCTTGGCTTTTAAAGTGTTTGGACCATCTCTGGTTTGAGAGAATTAATGAAGTGATCAGAATTGTGTGGATTGAATTCATATTTGTTGGCATTAGATGTTCCTAGAGAACAAGAAACGTTTTCATGCTTTTGGTTTTGAGTATATGTGTATAGCTGATGTTATTCGAAGCTCTCACGTTGTTAATACTTAATACTAACTTATTCTGTGGATTCTTATTGTTGAAGGTTATCTACAATAGGGAAACCGACCAGAGTCGTGGGTTTGGATTTGTGACAATGAGTACGGTGGAAGAAGCTGAGACAGCCGTCGAGAAGTTCAACCGTTATGTAAGTTTACATGTTTCAAGCATATCTGAAGTATTAGCATGTATACGTTGGGATATTGTTTCTATGATTTTTGCACATTAGTGACCTTATCTGTTCTTAATCCAACCAAAAGCTTTTGTCTTTCTGCCTTTTGTCAATCGAATATTGAAGCTTAAAGCTTTGGTATCTTATCAATTAATGCATTACCTCAATGGTTCACTACATATCCCCACTTGTTGCATCTGCATGGAGATGTTTGTTCCCGAAACAGTTTGGCAACTGAATGGACTTATTGATTCTGTCTGTGAGAACTTTACCGAGCATCTGTGTTTTTTGTCTTTTCATCTTTGTCAGGATCTGAATGGACGGCTTCTGACAGTAAACAAGGCAGCTCCAAGAGGATCACGTCCAGAACGCCAACCTCGGGTATATGAACCTGCATTCAGAGTCTATGTGGGAAATCTACCATGGGATGTGGACAATGGTCGTCTCGAGCAAGTTTTCAGTGAGCATGGTAAAGTTGTGGAAGCTCGGGTGGTTTATGACCGTGAGACAGGCCGTTCACGTGGATTCGGGTTTGTCACAATGTCTAACGAGACTGAACTCAACGACGCCATCGCTGCTCTTGATGGACAGGTACCCTCCTCTTCCTCATTTTACGGTTATGCTAATGAAGTTTACATGATTTGTTTATGATCTCTCAATCTCTCCTTGTGTCTTTATTTTGCAGAACATGGAAGGTAGAGCAATCAGGGTGAATGTAGCAGAGGAGCGTCCTAGGCGTGGATTTTAAAGCTGAGATCTGTCTGTATCCCTCCTCTCTTTCTGTCTATCCCTTGCATTTTCTTTAGACGAGATTCTTACACTCTTTGAAGATTTTTGTTTTTTTTGTCTGAACTCTGAATGCGAAAGTGAAGCTTCTTTGAAAGTAATGTGTTGCTTCTCTTTGATGATCTTTATCATTTATTCCGTAATTTCCATATTGAATTTACCCAATTGTCAGCGTTACATTGGTCTATGACACATTTCTGTGAATTGCGTGGGAAATTTTAAACATGAGCTACTATGAGCTTTGGCCCCAAAATCGCCAGATAAATGAAAGGCTTATAAAGCCAACACAAATTAGTTAAAGCCTAAGGGAAAGATGAGTGAAAAGAAAGGTGGTGAGGTATGGCTAGTGAGTCTTGGCCAGTAAATTAACTGTCACTACACATCACTCTTACTTCAATAGTTACTCCTAGTCTCTTCATGTCCGGCCATACCTAGGATGTGAACCTACAATCATGGTATAAAGGTGATCACGTTATTCTTCTTGACCTTTGAGGTTGGACTTGCTCGGACTATATCTATAATGAGGTGTAAGTCTAAACGAGAGAGTGCAAGGTATCTAAAATATGTTAAATCTTAGTTAACAATAGTGTGAGAAGTGAGAACAAAGAGATGATGATGTAGCATTATTTTTTTGCTTTGTTCATCTTACCCTCTCAGTCTCACTCTTATAGACGACTTTCCTTGTGACAACAAACCGCATCGAAAGATTTTATTTCTCGCCTTCATAATTTGCACCAATATTTTCTGGATCCATTCTCTATACTGCAAGACGAGAAACCATCTCTTTTTGCGCATTTGTAAACGCGAAGAACTGATACAATGCACAACACCTTTGAGCCAGCTGAATGGTTTGTATGACCTTGTGAAATAACCTGAATTCGAACTTAAGTCCTCAAAATCTAACTCTTACAAGCGTTAAAAATAATCTCTCATTCCCACGCATTTGTAACTCCAATGCTCAAGCCTATCGTCCTTGAACTTGTTTGATGACTCGATGAACACAATAGTTTGAATGAAAAGACGCTTCGTGGGCTATCAATGAATAATTCCAAACCAAATAAGAAGACATCAAGGTTTGGGCCGGGGATTGTTAGTTTTTCTACTTAGGATAGGATGACTTTTGCTTGTATCGACTTCTCAAAAGTCATCCAAACACAAATAATTAGAATCAACTCATGATGGCAGATTTGATTTGATTTTAAGTAAAATATTGCATTGAAAAGATAAAACAATACGCAAAAAGTAGAAATCGTGCTGGTGAAGTCGCTTTAAGCAGAATATGGAAATGCAACATTTGTCGGGATACAAGAATACAAATGGTCCATATATTCATGCATGTGTAACAGGCTCACATCATAAGAAAGAAAAGAATTAGAAGAAGCAAAAACAAAAGGAAACAAAGTGTATAAGAATAGAGCGACATCGATGATTCATTTCTCGGCCAGATCTACGTCTTGGAACTTTCTTCCAATCTCTCTTATCCCAACCTTAGCCTTAGCTTCTCGACCAGTCAGTCTATCTCCGTTATTTTTTTCATACTTGTCTCTTTGCCTTCCTCTCTTAATTAGTTTTGGACCTATCATCAACCAAACCAACGTTTTAAAATAACAACAATGCTATTGGAAAATATTATTTGGTTTCCAATCTCCGAAAAATCAAATAATACAATCTAAAGATTGGTCCGAGCTAAGAAAAAAATAATGGAATCAACTACACACTAGATTTATGATTTGGAAGATAAACTTCAGTTTAGTTCACATAAATGGACTTATACGTTGACAAAGAAGATTGGAGGATATGTTTTATTGGTCCCCTGCAAACCCATGATGCTGCCAGTAAATTCTTTCAAGAGGCAGCCAACCATCCACGTGTACCCTCAAACCCTACAACCTGTAAATCCATTAGATGCACATCTTAATTTAATATTAGCCCAAAACCAAAAGTTCTTTTTCTTTCTTTTATAAATAAAATTTAATCTTAAGCCATATTATAGAAAACAACTCTAACTAGTAACTACACACACACACTGGCGATTTTAGACTCTTTGTAATAGACTCTATGATGTTATCCATGTGAGTCACACATGCTCTCATGATTTATTATGGAAATTACGAGCCTAAGCACTTAAAACTCTTCAATACAATGATATATATTTATAAAATCAAACACAATACCATAGGTCGTTAGCGCTCTCCTTAATCCTTGCTTAAGAAACAAAATAGATGAATAAAAAACGAGTGTAATAAGGTGAAACCGTTGTCATATGTGTAAGTTGCCGTTGAGAAAGAAAACAAATCTTACAAAATTATGTTGTTTATTACCCATTGGCAAATGAAAATGTAAATCAACAATCAAAATGTAACTATATTTCAAATTATAACAAAAAACAAAGAAGAAATGTTGTAACTTTTTTTTTTTTAGAAATCCTCAATTAAGGGGGTTTGTTATAGACGCAATCGAGACAAGATCCCATTTTTGTTCTTGGATTACAAATTTTCACACTTTAAAATATTGAAAACAAAATACTTTTAGGTTCAAATCGGTCACTGGCTCTCTCTCGCTCAAAAAGAAGGAGAAGGGAATGTTTCCTCGCAATCATCATCATCACAACCATCAGCTTCGTCTTCTTCTCTGAAACTCCAGTGCCTTCTTCCCCTAGGTTCACTTATACACTTACCAATACGATTCGCATATACATACAAAGACTAAGAAAAAGAGAACTTGGAGAGTGGACTCAGCTTCGAGATGGGTGGTGTGACTTCTTCAATGGCGGCGAAATTGGCGTTTTTTCCGCCGAATCCGCCGTCGTACAAGCTAATCAGAGACGAAGCAACGGAGCTTCTGCTCATGGACCCTTTTCCCCATCGAGAAAACGTCGACATTTTGCGTCTGCCCACGCGCCGAGGCACCGAAATCGTCGCCATGTACATCAGATACCCTATGGCCGTGACCACTCTCCTGTATTCGCACGGGAATGCTGCTGATATTGGTCAGATGTACGAGCTCTTCATCGAGCTTAGTATTCACCTCCGCGTCAATTTGATGGGGTTAGTTCCTTTTCTCTTGCTGTGACTGAGGTTGATTTCAATTACCCAGATCAGATTTTTCTTTCTATATTTAGCTTTAGGATCTGCTGAAAAGCTCCTCGATTTTTCAAATGCTCTGCTCTCTGGATTCGTCCAAGTAGATTTGAAGCTTGCAGATGCAGAAATTAGCACAGTATTTGCTCTCAGTGTGTAGCCGACACTCTTATCGGTGAAATCTGCTCAAGTTTTGGTTGACATTAATAGATTTCAGTGTGTAGAAGCTGATAATCTTCTCAAAGTTTAGGTCGTAGACTCATAAAATTTCACTGGAAAAGTCTTGTTATTTATGGAATTTCCTTTAGAGTTTTTTTTCTGAATCTGGATCTCCTTTAGTAAGGAGACAGAAATAGTTTTGACGTTGAAATGTTTGAGTTTGATTCTTTTGGTAGATAAGCATGTTTTGGTTGTGTTGTTGACATCAAGTGGTCTTGGGCAAAAAAATTCTATTTCTAGACCTTCAAGAACTGTTATTATATCTGTTTCTGGAACCAAGTATTGAATATCCAAAATGTTGTTCTTTGATAGAACACCTTTTTGGATCATGCAGTTATAACGTTGGGATTCTGCATATAATGGATTAAACCAAAATTTGTTCTGTCTTTCTTAAAATTGATCTGAATATAGTAGGATTTATTTCCGTAAGATTATACATTCCGTCTTGTCACATTGGAAACTCCTCTTAATACGTTCTGGTGTTTACAGGTATGACTATTCAGGGTATGGCCAATCATCAGGGAAGGTGAGTAACCACAGATCCTAAAGCATTCTTACCTCTGTGATTCGAATGTTGGTTCATCTATATAAATCTCCGTTTTTTTGCAGCCCACTGAACAAAACACTTATGCTGATATCGAGGCTGCATACAAATGTCTGGAAGAGAATTATGGGGCAAAGCAGGAGAACATTATCCTATATGGTCAATCTGTTGGTAGTGGTCCAACCGTTGACTTAGCTGCACGTTTGCCTCGACTAAGAGCTTCCATTCTTCATAGTCCAATTCTTTCTGGGCTTAGAGTTATGTATCCCGTTAAGCGAACTTATTGGTTTGACATATTCAAGGTAAGCTTTTTGATTTCTGTACTTAATGTTGCTTATAAGAATTCCTCCTCCTTGACAGCATTTTGTTTGTTCTTCTTCAGAACATTGACAAAATTTCGCTGGTGAGGTGTCCGGTTCTCGTGATTCATGTAAGTTTACGTGATCAAACATTACTGACTGGAAGAAATAGTGGGTTCCAAGTTCTAGGTTGAACAGTTTGTCTTGCAAGATCCATTCTTTCTTGTATAAACCATTGTCTATAATCCTCAGTATAAGTTGACTTCTCGATTTGCAGGGAACAGCGGATGATGTAGTTGACTTCTCACATGGGAAGCAGCTGTGGGAACTCTGCCAAGAGAAATATGAACCGCTATGGCTCAAAGGCGGAAACCATTGTGATCTTGAACTGTTTCCCGAGTACATTGGCCATCTTAAGAAGTTTGTGTGCGCTGTGGAGAAATCAGCATCGAAAAGAAACAGTTCTTTCTCAAGAAGAAGCATGGAAGGGTGTGAACAACCTCCTCGGCATAGTGTAGATGCGCCAAGGAAGAGCAAGGACGGACGAGAAAAGCCGAGGAAAAGCGTAGACAGGCTAAGGTTTCAGGGATACAAGTTGAGCCACATAGAGAGACCCGAGAAGCTTAAGGTTCCATTTGAAGAAATGGAGAGGTCGAGAAGAAGTGTGGACATTTACAGAGATAAGTCGCAGCCGATGGAGAGAGCACGTAAGAGCGTGGATTGGTTGGACAGAAGTCGAATTACCGAATAAAAATGGGATTTGGTGTTTAAAGATTGTATTTGAGTTTCGTTTAATTTATTGGGGGTGTGTTTTTGTATTTGTAGTTTTGGTATGTCAAGTTAAGATACAACATTAAAATAGATTTAACCAATTGGGTAACTTCTCTGACTGTTTCCCACACGATACTTTTGACTGGTTTTCAATATTGCTCTATTTGACAAAGATTCATGTGATGTCTTTCTTGTAGTTGATATTCCTCCCTTCATCTCTTTTCCTATAATCAT